TCTAATGGCTTATATAAATAAAATTTACACAAAGAAAATTTACTTACCCCAATGATTATCTCCTAATGTTTCCTGGAAAACAAATAAAATAACACAAATTGGTATTTAATCAAATAGGGAGAAATAATGAAAGAGAAAATTAAAAGAGAGGAGATTGAAAAAATATAAACCTAAAGTTATATCAATAATGTAATTATAAACATATATAAACAATTAATCCAGCAGCTTTGAATGGAAGAAAAAGAGGAGGCAATAGTCGGAGAGGAGAAGAAAAAGAAGAAGAAGAAGAAGAAGAATAAGAAGGAAGACAAGAAGAAATAAGCCGGGTAGAGTGGTGGGGGGTATATATATGGCAACTTACCCATGTGTGGTTAGTCGGTATTACTTTCACCAACAAAGATCACATGGGTAAGTGATTGAGGGCGGGAACCCAAAAACGAAAATTTTTTCAATCTGCGCCCAAATTACCGACCAGCTTCTTGTTGATATTTTTTTGGTGACTTTACCAACAAGATGCAAGTGGGAAATTAATTTTACCGACTAGAAGAACGTTTCTAGTATGGCCGGTAACAATTCAACAACTTCCTCTCCAGATTTCGTCCATTTTGCCTAAGTTCCTTTCCAAATTTCGTTTTCATGCCATTTTCTGAATTTATGTAACAGATTTCTTACATTTTAGTGGACATAAATTTTTAAAAAAATAATCAAAATTCCCCCATATATATGATAAAAGGTTTTTTTTTTTTTTAATCTGCATGCAATACTACAACTTTATGATAAAAAATGCAACAATTTAAAATTTATTCAATAGATTTTTTGCAATTTGGTCATTTTAGTTGGTATAAATTCTAAAAAAAATTTGACAGAGTTTCCCCATATACATATGATCAAAACCAATTTTTTTACCTGCATTTGCAATGAGAAACACATATATTCTACAAGTTTAGTATGCTAAAAACAATTATACCTTTTCAAGCATAACCATAACCAAAACCACAACTACAACCACAACCACAACCACAAAGTATATATGGAAATCACACACCATTGTTTTAAATACCCATGATATTTAGTTAATAATAATTATCCTCCAAAGCAATCCAAAACTTCATACCTTTTGAAGTATGATCACTGGAGGTCAAGCAATAAGAAAATATATCGTAATAAAAAGCTAAAGCTAACAGTTTAAAGTACTAATAGAAATAAAGCCAACCATGCAAAGTGTGCAGATAATGTGCGTAGCAGAAAAATAAAAAAACTAAAGACCCTGATAGTTTGGATCAAAAGCAGGATGGTATGCATCATCATCTTGAGGCGGAAACTACCGCTGCTGCTAATATTCAGGGACCATAGGAGAGGTTTGTGTAGAATCAGTGGAGTAGGTGAAAGCTGAATTCGTGCGGAGACCTGAGCCAGGACCATGTGACGGTTGTGGTGGGTCAACTGGATGATGACCTGCTTGAGGGGAGATGCCATGAGCGGCTAGAGTTGCTGCAACAGACTGTGCGATTGTCTGGCTCATATTATTCTGAGCTTTTGTTATATTGGCCAGCTGCTGTTGCATCAGAGTAATTTGTTGGCGTTGTCTTTCTAACTCCTCATGATCTTTTGCCTGTGTCTCCTCATAGTCAGACGTCATCAGTGTTGCTATTAAGTTTTCTCGGAGTTTTCTTGGAGTTGTCTCTTTTTGTAAGTAAAACCAACCATCTTTGGATTTACTTGGGAGCCAATCCCTAGCATGAAATTAGATGAGCAACCTCCAACAGCCTTAACCCCTGCCTCATTATCCATGCGTGGCCACGAACTAGCATCAGAGCCATGACTCTCTGTGCACTCCACAACATAAGTATCCTGAAAAAATAATAGTAATAGTAATAATGTTGTCAAAAGTAGTTTGAAAATAATCTATAAAAAAAAGTAGACTTTGCTAAATAATTTAAATTAATTACATAAATTTTTTCGACACTTATAATTATACATTTTATGCTAATTTATATGTTATATATACTTACATATCGATACTTTGCTTTTTCATTAATCCACGCTAGCTCTTGATCCTTTCCCGCCTTTTTTCTAAAGGTGTGCGTCTCCTTGAATTTCTCTTAATGGAGAGGTTGCACACCACCTCTAGACTCAGTCTATATTTCAAAATATTGATAAGGCAATATATTGGTTTGTATAAATTGACACAATTTATTGTTAAATAAAATTTAATATATTAAATTTTTTATTAATTAAGCTTGATTACCATCCACATCTCATGGATGCCAACGCTAATGGACCCAGTGGTGTGAGTCACCCTTTCCCCAGAGCTCCTATTCTTTGCTCCCCTCGCATTGAGCCTCTTATATTCATCAGAGTCCCAATATGTCAGTAGATGAGGCCATATATGAGTTGGGATCCAACATGGGACATAGGCTGAGTTCTTGTCCCATTTCAACTTCTCATCCCTAAGATTATCACTCCATCTATGTTTCATACAATTTAAGAATGCATCTCTCACATGGCGATTATTTGCAGGATCCCACTAGTAAAGTGTCTACAAAATAAGAAACGAATAACATTAGGTGTCTGAGAAATGTAAATTCTAGTTGGTTTAATACCCTTTTTGGTCCCTCTACTATAGGAAAAAGCCCTTTTTTGGTCCTTATACCGAAAAAATCCCCTTTTTGGTCCTTACTATTCACAAATCCGGCCCCTTTTTAGTCATTCCATTAAATTTTGACTGATGTGGCAGATTAATTAACAGAAACACTCATTCCTTTTTTTTTTAAACTAAATTATGTGGAAAACCCACGTGGCAAAAATGGATGACATGTTAAATTTTTTCCCTTTAATTACTAATATACCCCCATCTTCTTCCTCGGCTTCTCCTTCCTCCAGCCTTTTTTTTTTCTTTTACCTCCAAGTGAACCCAAGAGCCTGGGTTCGTGAGGAACCCAGCTCGCCGGTTCGCGACAAACCCAAGTCTTGGGTTCGCAACGTCCATTTGCAATGCTATTATCCAGCTGTGGAGCCGCTGAAGCCGTCGGCCTTTTGGCCTACACCGGGAACTCCCATGTGAAATGGAACAAAGTCTGCAATATTATCCATAGATTCTGTAGGCAAGGTGCTATTCGCGACGAACCTAGGTCTTGGGTTCGTGACGTCCGTTTGTAATGCTATTATCTAGTTGTGGAGTTGCCGGAGCCGTCAGCCTTTTGGCCTACACCGGGAACTCCCATGTGAAATGGAACAAAGGCTGCAATATTATCGATTGATTTTGTAGGCAAGGTACTGTTCGCAACGAACCCAGGTCTTGGGTTCGCGACGTTCGTTTGCAATGCTATTATCCAGCTGTGGAGCCGCCGGAGCAGTCGGCCTTTTGGCCTACACCGAGAACTCCAATGTGAAATAGAACAAAGTCTACAATATTATCGGTAGATTTTGTAGGCAAGGTGCTGTTTCAATTGCCTGGTTGCTTCTTTATTGTGGCATTCCTCTTCCATATTGTGGTTGCCGTTTTGAGCCTTCACAACGGATCCAATTATGAGTAGAATCTATTTAGTTAGATTTTTAGATTTTCCTTACATAATGTTTGAAACAAATAAGCATGATATGTAAACATACATTTAACAAACAGTATCTGGAAGTATATATGTAAAATTATGAGTTTTATCAAGACTGAAGTGACGAGTTTAGAAGTCTCTTGTAAGAATTGAGTAATTGAAGAACATTATCTCCTGGTAACAGTTTCTAAATCATCAATGCACTAGCAGCTCAGTTCTGTGATAATAAGTGCCTGCAGCGCTTCAGAATGTAGTCCGATCTCCATTGCCTCAACATGGAATTTCATTTTTGTCAAGGTCTTCCAGATTTACTCTCATTGTTGAACCAGAGCTCAATAGACTAACCATGGCAGGAATATCAGATTTTAAAGAAGCAGCCAATGCCTGATGGATGATAAAAAAATGAGGGACAAAAGAATGAGTTTGAATTCTTGGATGGGTTCAGTTAACAAAACATGAGGTTTAATATCTAACGAAAACAATTCACCAAGCAGCATACCTTCGTATCCTCGTCTCTTTGATGCTTAATAACTTCAAAAGGCAATTCATTTACCAATTTCTGAAGTTCATCTGTGATACCTAACTTTTTTGAATTGGGTAAAGTCTGGATTGTAGAAATTGAAAAATTAATTAAAAGACATAACAGAGTGAAAAAAATTAAAAATGCATACCATGTTAACTTCAACAGACGGCGGTGATCACCTTTAACAAACAGACAAAAGATGTTCTTCCGTGTGCTTAATTTCCAGCTCCAAGAAGTCTAGTTTTAGTGACATGCATGAGTCAACAATTGATAAATTTAAGTCACAGACGTCGCAAACCCAAGACCTGGGTTCGTCGCAAACCCGCAAACTAGGTTCCTTGCGAACCCAGGCTCTTGGGTTTGCCTGGAGGTAAAAGAAAAAAAAAGAAAAAAAAAAGGCTAGAGGAAGGAGAAGCCAAGAAAGAAGATAAGGGTATATCAGTAATTAAAGGTAAAAAATTTAATATGTCATCAATTTTTGCCACATGGATTTTCCACGTAATTTAGTTAAAAAAAAGGAATGAGTGTTTCGGTTAATTAACTTGCCATATTAGCCAAAATTTAACGGAATGACTAAAAAAGGGCCGGATTTGTGAATAGTAAGGACCAAAAAGGAGATTTTTTCGGTACAAGGACCAAAAAGGGCTTTTTCCTATGGTAGAGGGACCAAAAAGGGTATTAAACCATTCTAGTTTAGTAATGAAATTATTTATTTTTATTAGAAATTGCTAAATCCATTCATTTTATTAAATTTGCTAAAACTTAATTTTACCTTGAAACAATTATAAATTTCAGCAATCTTTCTTTGGGGGACACGCTCATATGTTAAATACGGGCCATCAAAACGTGACTTCCATAGTGAAGTGATAGTCCGAGGGATGTTTGGATCAGCAAATTGGAGCTTGTCATCAGTGAGTTTAACCCATTTCCTATTCTCTCTATTTTCTGGAGGGCGTATTCTTTTTAAATTCCTGATCCATCATTTTTTCCCCGTCGAGGATGAAAGGCCCTTGTTCTCATGATCATGTGCAAAATTATAATCCATTAATGGATCAATCGTTTTCTGTATATTCGGAGCTACGCCACTATCAATAAACAGCTGTGGGTGATTAAAATTGTACTACTCTTGTGATCCTGAGGAGGAAGATCTCCTCCTTGTTGAACCTGTAGGATTTCCAAACATCTTGAAAAATGAATAACAAAATAGTTATTAATATATTTATACAAATAATGAGTAACAAATTTAGAACAATCATACAATGATTCTATTTTAAATGAAAAATATATAACTTGATAAAACAATATATATATATAAGACAAAGAAATTTTAATACATATATTTAATAAGTAATAATACAAATGTTTCAATTAATCATCACTATCATCGCTATCATCATCATCCTCAACATTATCACTATTTCCTGAGAATTCTGAATCTTTTTCTTCTCCATAGTCCTTTTCTTCAGATGTATTAGCATCAACCTTAACTTTTGTAACACCTTCTGCACATAGTTGAAGTGATTGGTATGCAGTTAAATCTATAGCTAATGAAGAGCCTTGCATTATGGAAGGGTCATCATCTTGAAAAATATCATGAACCTCTCCTGAAGATGAGGTCTCAATTAGATGTCTAGATTTGATTTTGCATGATGCCAACCATCCCCAGGTAGTTCTATCCGTGGCTGCCAGATATGGAGTATAGTAAACCTGTTGTGCTTGACTAGTAAGGCAAAATGGCTCCCTCGTTGAAAGTTTAAACCTTAGATTGACATCAACAATTCCGTGTTCAACATTGACACGTATTCCTCAGTCCGTGTCATACCAATCACAATTAAACAATATTATAGTCTCTTGATGGCCTGAGTGTCCATAATACAATAACTCGATTACCTCTTTTAAGACACCATAATAATCAGTTTCATCTGTAGAATTAATGGTGATTCCTTTAACACAAACACTATAGTTATATGTCTTTCTATTACTAGTAAACTCTTTAGTAAAAAATTTAAAGCTGTTCACATAGAACCCATTATAAACATTTACTTCAAAGATCGGGCCAACTGCAAGGTGGATAAGTTGTTCATTGATTTCATATTATCCACTAAACACCTATATTTGAAAAAAAATTAATTTAGTAATATTTAATTAAAAATTTGAGAAAATAATATATAACAATTTATTACCATATTTTTAAATCATTGAACAAAATTATTTGCTCACAATCTTTGTAATTTTTCATGTGACAAATTTGCACCAACTTCTTTCTTAAATTTACTGTAAAATAACATTTATTTATTAATTAAAACATTATGAAAATCATATAAGCTATTAAACATTGTGTAGTTCTTATTCTCCTAAGAAGTAAAACTTACGTTACCCAAACATCAACCTCCTTGGAATTTAGCAAGACATATAGTTCAGCTGCATTTTTCTCCTCCAATGTTAAACATCGTGTATGTGAGTGGGCACCTATTAATTCATCAGGGGAACAAAATACGGATAACTTACCTCGGACGTTGGTTCCAATGCCACCATAGTTCCTTGGAGGCTGATTCCAGCTTGTCTCAACATCATCCCCAAAATAACGAGAGCAGAAGTGGGATATTTCGTATAATATAAATGCCTCAACAATTGATGCATTGACATGATTTTTATTCCCTATGGTACTCTTAAGTTTGCGCATATGCCTGAAAAGAAATACTGATAAGATTAGTTTTTAAAAAAGTAATCAAAAGTAAGTTTTAAAATTATCAATTTCTTTGTATGTTTTACCTTTCAAATGGGTACATCCAACGAAATTGAACAGGACCACCAACTCTGGCCTCATATGGAAGATGAATCGCTAGATGTTCCATAGAATCAAAGAATATTGGGGGGGAATATTATTTCTAACTTACAAATTATTTCAACAATCTTTGCCTCCCACTTCTGCATCTCAGTAACTTTAATGACTGAGGAACAAAGTGAACGAAAGAAGTTACTAATGTCATGTCACGCTCCAGAACCCAAATTTAGAGACGTGACAGACGCCGTGCACTTGCGAGAGGGTCCCACAAATGCACAAGGCTTGGAACTTACTAAGTTCTTAATTTCCAAATTGGATAATTCAAATCTAAAACTCAAGTAAAATCTAACTTTCTATTACCAAAAATTTACTATTCCAAATATACAAAAGTTTATAAATGGTTATGGATATAACCAAGGAAACTCTGTACACAAAAATGGTTATTTGAGTCAACCATGTGAGACTAGCGGCCTAACTCCAAAAGATCTAAATCCAATATAATGCCTAGCCGTCTAGCTCGTCACTCCCCCGGCTCCCTATGTGTCGGGTATCACTACCTGAAATGGTAGACAAGGAAAATGAGATGAGATAAAATATCTTAGTAAGTAAAAATATGGATAGCCCTTGATAAAAATTTTAAGCATGTCAGATAAACAGTTTAACATAACAAAACTTTCAATGATAAATCATTCATGCATAATAAAACTCATCAGTAGTCTCATCTAGAAGTCATGGTCAATGTTTAACAAACTCCCACTGGTAGGCATCAGTAATAACCAATGTTTAACCCCATTGGTAGGGTTACAGAAGTATCAGTGTTTAACAACTCCCACTGGCAGGCGTCAGTAATGATACCATTGTTTAACAACTCCCACTGGCAGGCATCAATAATAGTACCAGTGTTTAACAACTCCCACTGGCAGGCATCAGTAATAGTACCAGTGTTTAACAACTCCCACTGGCAGGCGTCAGTAATAATCAATGTTCAACCCCATTGGCAGGGTGAACCGGTTCTACAGAAATACATGTCGACATGTGCTAACGTTTACAAACTCCCACTAGCGGGTATTAGTAATCATGACTATATCAGAGACAAAACCATGTAAAATTTTCAAAAAATCCATAATTCACCATCAAATCTCAAATTTAAAAAATAACCAGAAAATCCCATGTGGGCATGGATTTAACAGAAAATCATAATTTATGAAAAATTCTTAAATCATTAGAGCAGTTCAGTAAGTTCCAAGGGGCATGCTCTACTATAGAAAAACAATGAAATTCTCATTTTCATTCCAATCATGCTCAATTACAAAAAAACAAGAAAATTCTCATTAAAAATCATCCAAATTTTCATTTTAGTTTAATCACACTCAGATGCTAATAAAGTCAATTTAAAATCAATTTAAACCTTGCCACCATCTCAAAAACAGTTTAAAATATGCTTTAAAAATCAAAGGGTTTTACTATAAATTTACTTACCTCAAATCGCACCAACCAGAACACTAATCCCAAGTGCTAGGTTGCAGGATAATCAAGTACCTAATCAAAATATTTCCAAAATTAATACCAATATAAAACGACATATTTAATCCTTTCCCAATTTAGCCGGCAATTAGCCCCCATAATACCCTATTTATTTATTTATTCATTTTTCTATCCGAAATCAAGCACAAAATCAAGTGTGCATTTATATATTTGCATAATACACATCTAATTTTCCCATTTACTCACGGGCAGCACATGGAGAGCATGGTTTAGCAAACCACAACTCACACACACGGGATTTTTTTCTCTCCAAACATCACAACAGCCTAATTAAACTAATTCCTACATGAATTTAGCAAGAAAAATCATCTCACTGCTGTCGGAATTCTTCCCTTTTCCAGCAGGAAAATCTGAACAGTACAAGCACAATTCAAGGCAGGAAATTCGAAGATTCAAGGCAACAATCAATTGATAAAATCCAAGCTTATGGAAGCTATCATCTTACCGGAATTTTCTAGCAAGCAGAACCAGATCTGGCAGGTATGGCAGGGGCGGAATTCGCAGACAACTAACACGAAATTGACAGAAATAAAAGCAATTAGAGTGAACCCAAGCCAATCTAGAGCTGAAGAGAGGAACTCATGGCCGTTGCTTACCGGAAAAAGCCCAGAGATTCGCACCACAAGCTGCAGCTCGCGGATAGAGGAGGAGGAGCAGACCAGATCTGGAAAATTCTAGGCTTAATAGGTGTTCTAGAACAAGAAAAGGAGGAGGAGAAATCTCCAAGTTTTACCGGTGTTCCCGGCCGGAAAAGGGGTGGCGGTAGCTGGGGGCTCGTCGGGTTGCAGAGGGTCGAGAGGAAGAGCAGAACACGCGTGGGAAGAAGAAAGAAAGAAAAGAAAAAGAAAAGAAAGAATTCAGTCAATCCTTATCCTATTTCCTTTCTTCTAAGTCCCTGAATTTAACAAAAATTGTCATTAGGTTCACTAATAATATTTCCTCACAATTTAGTCCCCAACTCAACTTTAATAGTCTAGAAATTTTGGGATATTACATGTCAGTCAAAGGACCCCAAATAGCAGATGGCAATAAACCGCAAAAAGCAACTGGAATTAGTCGTTGCATAAAAACATAACAATCATGACTTTTCATCCCAAATAACCTAAATTCATTCAAGTTGACACATCTTGATATGTTGAAAGCAAACCCATCTAGAAAGTGCAACTGTTTTAGCCATGCACATAGAAGCTTTTGTTTTTCAGATGTCAGTGCATAATTAGCATTAGGTTTCATAAACTTACCATGCATATTATATCCCATGTGCAGTTTTCTTCGATCACAATAAATGGCTAAATCCAATCTTGCTTTCCCATTGTCTTTTGTCTTATTATCATTCATAACAGTGTGTATTATATTATCAAAGAAATTTTTCTCACAGTGCATTACATTAAAATTATGTCGAATAAGATTATCATGCCAATAAAGAAGTTCCCAAAAAATGCACCTTTTCACCCAATTATGGATGTTCCCAAAACCCTCAATTGTTTGGGTTTCAAAGGGTTTCCCAAACAACACATCAGGAAGGTTTTCAACTTGGTGATGCATTGAAACACCATCCAATCAAGGAGGGGGACTGCCTAATTCAACCTAACCCTTCAAGAAATTATTCTGATCAAATCTGAAAGAATGTGATTCTAGTAAAAACTGACGATGACAATAAAAAAAACATGGTTTCCGACCATTTTGAAGATAAAAAGATTGTGTCATCTCCATACAATAAGGGCATGACAATTGGCCATGAGTGCTCCAACCAGCCACCATACCATAACCGGGAAAATCAGTTATGGTCCACATCAACATAGCCGGCATTATAAAGTTTTGCTTACGATAACTATCATATGTTTCTACACCAGTCGACCATAACATTTTCAAGTCTTCAATTAAAGGTCGAAGGAAAATATCGATATTTTTGCCTAGGCTTTTTGGACCAGCAATGACCAATGTAAGAAAAGTAAACTCTGGTCGCATGCACATCTCTGGTGGCAAATTATAAACAATTAAAAAAACTGGCCAACAAAAGTAGGAGGTTGAAGAATGAGCCCATGGGTTGAAACCATCAGTAGCAAGACCTAACCGAACATTACGAGATTCTTTTTTAAAAGAAGGATTCATTTGATCAAAATGTCTCCATGCTTCTGATTGTGCTGGATGAATGACCTAATTTGTATCACCACAACATTTCAAATGCCATGTCATGTGCTCAGCTATTTTTCGAGACATGTATAGCCTCTGAAGGCGAGGTATTATTGGCAAGTACCAAAGAGAATTCCTCGGAATGTCCTTTTGTCTACTCCTCCCTGGATTTCTCTGTTTATACCTCGCTTCTCCACAAATTGGACATATAGTCAATGTTTTCGTATGCTCCCCATAGTATAAAAAGCAGTTGTTAACACAAGCATCAATTTTTAGATAACCTAACCCAAGCCCCTTCATATATTTTTTTACTTCATAAAAATTTGAAGGAACTTTTTCTTGATCTTCAGCACTTAACAACCTTCTACACCCTTTGAGAATGGCATTAAAACCATTAGCAGTTATATTATTTGCAGTCTTTGTATGCAACATATAAGAAAGCCAGCTAAGCACTGTCTCATTTCTTTTAGCACTACCAAGTGGAATTGTAGATACATGAAGCAAGTCATAAAATGCCTTTGCTTGATTATTTGGTT